CTGAGGCTTCTTCTTTCCGAACTGGTAGTAGACTCATGACGTTCAGTAAAAAAATGTAATAATTTAATGCTGAATAAAATATTTTGATTTGATTTCATGACTTTTAAATAATGCGTCATTCTTTTTTGTAATGTCGTTTGAGGCGTTACTCTGACTCTATATAAAATAATAAAAACTGTGTTCTATTACACCGAATTTTACTTGGGTTACCTGACTTACCTCACCTCAGAAGTACTGACATAGATTCGTAATATTTCAGAAGCGGGATACGGTTTTGAGATGTCTGGGCCATACATTAATGGTTGGGACAACCGAGTGAGAAAGGAAAAATACCTAAAGCCCATAAGTTTTAACATCGAGATAAATAGTTCGGAAGGAAGCGAACTATAGTTTGTAGTGCAAATGAGGTTATACACGGTGATGCAAGGAATTAGTTGAAGAAAATGTTGGCTCGAACGAAACTGTATACTGAGACAACGACAAAACACTACAAATGCGACATCATGAGGATATTCAATCACCTTAAGTCTTATTGAAGACTTTGCTACAAGTGTCGCAAAATACTACAGCTTGTTGGTGCCGGTACACAGCAGAATATGAACGGACAAACAATAAACAACAACAACACACAGAAAACTTCCACGCATATTATTAAAATAGTTTACATATTGTGTTGTAAAGGTTGCGAATTGTCCGTAGTTGAAATATTTACAATTATTTCGTACCAACGAATAACTGAATATGTTTGTGAAGTATAGGGAAAATAAGGAAATATTAACACCTACTAAAGAAGGCCACACATATAATAGAAAGTAAATAATAAATATAGTTGCAAAGTTGTGTTTATTGGATTTTATGCAGCGTCTGTTTGACATGATCTTTTACATTGATATAGTTCAATTTAATTCTTTTGTTTCGTGGCTTCTAGAAGTCCTAATACTTTTTAGAATATTTGACATTTTCAATAAAACTATGTTTTCTGATTTTGTCGCGGTTTTCCATACTAATATTATAACACTAATGTTATAAAGAGATAAAGTTTGTGAGTTTATGAGTTTGTGACGTTGTAGGGGGTAATCTCTGGATCTACTGAACCGATTTAGATAAAACTTGGTAAGAAGATAGTTTGAAGGACATAGAATATTTTTTATCCCGGAAATCACCCTTAAAGGGGGTGAAAATGGGGATGAAAGTTTGTATTGGGAAGCAAGCTAGGGATGAACCTGAGCGAAGCGAGAAAGAGTCGCTAGTATTTTATATTTCTGTTCCCAACGTTTTGAATGCTTTATAGCAAGCACAGTCACAGGAGAGATATAGTTTTGTTTGTTAAAGTTTGTTTTTGACGAAATATTTCAAGCAGTTAGGTTTAGACCGAAGTTCAGGTCAACTTATAGCATTTATAACAAAAAAGATTGTGTTTAAAATTCATGTTAAAATATTTACGATTTGTATAATAACGGTAAATTTAGGATTTTTATAATACCGGATATATTTTTGACAATAAAATGAGAAGAGCTCATGACGTCTCATCGTTATATTATAATAATTGTACTTTCGAGTATCATATTTGTTGTTTATTTATGCATTCGTATTTATATGGACTATAGTTAATCATAACATTTTTATTTAATACCAACAAACATAGTTTTCAATTTAGAATAATAAATATGTAAAATATTCGTTCAATTCGATATCATGTTTATATTGTACTTGTTATAAATTCGGGCCACACAAATGTAATAGCAAGCGGGAATTCTGCGAAAATGTCTAACACAAAGGTCTGCGGAACGTGACCTGTATGACATAAAAGTGAAATTGGTTTAACATCGTCCTCGGGAACTGTTAACTTACTTGTATTGTTTTCACAATTACTGGTGGCGGAAAGGAGTCCGGGGAAATGAAACAAAAATATTAATATATACGTTTTCCTATAAAATAATTTATATTACTGTCCCTTGGAAACTCTGTTTTTCAATTTGAAAAAATACATTACTTTTCTTATTTGATTTATTTCACAGAATAAATATTACGGATGGTTTGAAAAATTATTTTATTTTAAATGTGTGGTATTAAATTATGTCGTGAACTTTAAAAAACAAAAGGCTAATGTTCATTTTTTTAAAATTAAAACACTGAATCCAGCTATGTTTTTAGTACTTGTATGTTACTCAAACTGAAATACCCGTTTAATCAGATTTTCCAAAATATCGTCTTTCTGATAGAAGTTACTTTTTGCGTTACTTTTGGGACACCCGAAATAATACATATTATTGTAATACTATGTAATTTTTGCGACTGTAGTATTAATGTAAAACAAACAGGTATTTAACGATTATTGATAATTTTTTAAGATTTCGATATTCGAATGAAATATTCCTAGACAGTTTTGTGTGTATTTGTGCACTAAAAAGGTTCTCGTGGGATTGAATTGTATTTTTGAACAAATTTTTTCTTATAACGTGGAAACTACTAAATTTTATTTATTTTAATGTAAATTTACACAATAATTATTGAATGGTGCAATTGACTTAGTGTAATTGTAAGTACACTGACTTTTTATATTACAATATAAAATCGAGAATAAACATTTCGCGAGGAGGCAGATTGAATTTTTATAAAAATAAGCATCCAAATTAGTTAATAGAACGTAAGTGAAGTGTGTGTGAAGGAGGAAAGAAAATAATTAACAATGGTAATTTTATTAAATATATTGGTAACATTACAGTACCACTGCTATGAGTATTTTTGTGTAACGCTATTACCAGTACAAAGGACAATATGTACTTCATAATATAAAAAAACGAAATTAAACGTTATGTATAAATATTAAATAAAAGTGAAGTGTTTTATAAGGGGAGATAATGAAAAAATATATTTTATAAAAAAATATATCAAAAAGTCAGCACTTTTTACTCGTAATGCGTGTAGTATAAGGACTTAGTTTCCGCGCTGGGCAAGTGCGACTTGGTAGAGTAATTTATGGCATATTATATGATATTTCTCTATAGTATATTAGTCCGACTCTGACTTATTGAAAATAAATAATTGATGCAATATAACAGTTTTTCTTTATTGTGAAACGTTCATAACTATTTTACTTTTACTTGGTAAATTATGCACTATTACACACTTTGGGTATGAAAAAGAAGCATTCTGAGTTCATTAATATTTTATGATTTTGACACTATTTTCCGGGTTAATGTGATTTCGTTTGTTCGTGTTATAGTCTCGTAGCCGGTTGACAAGATTGGAGTTAAAGACTTAAAGTGGGAAGTGATTTTTAAAACCTACGTGTATATGTAGAGCCAAAGACGCTTTTAAATATATTTCTTTTAACAAATCTAGTATGATAGGTTATTTTAGTAGTAACGAACATAAATAAAGAAATAAGTAAATACTTTTAATTTAAATAAAACTATCTTTTCGGTTTTTTTCGCGAATTTATTTTGATTTTTGGTTCCCGACGTTTCGAATGCCTCACAATAATGTGTAATCAGGTAATCAGGCTGTCTGTAACAAGTATATACCTAATACTTTTGAGACGTCTAACACCTCAGTCTCTCCCGTGACCATGATTGCTGTAAAGCATTCGAAACGTAATAAATTCGCGAAAATATCCGAAAAGATACATTTATTTAAAATGTCAAGTATTCGCGTAAATCTAAGAAAGTATTACTTTTAATTTAGTTGGAATATATTTTGGGCAGTTTGTAACAACTTTACAATACTATAGAGAATTCTCGAATAAAACATTTTGTCTTAAATTACTTCATCGACTTAGAAGCTTGAGCACAACTTTCAAGTCAAAATCAGTAGTCACGTTCAGTTTAATTAAAGGTCGAAGATATTAACAAGGACAATTAGAAGCCCTTGGTGAATATTAAAGAGGTTTAAGATTAAGCAATCTGGAATATTATGTATAAAAAAGAAATTAAATACAAGGTAAAACAAAAAGCTTTTATATATAATTTACGTATGAGAATTTATCTATAATAGGATTTTCTATCCACCACGCGGCATTTTACAGGTTGTACCTATACGTGGACAATTAGTAGGTGACATACAGTAATTGTCCTTTCCAGGACTACTAAAGTATAACACTGTAAAAACTTTATAAACAATGTTTGATTATATATTTTTATGATTTATAGCTATATTTAATATTGATTGGAGTTAGATTATGCATTTGGTTACACGAGCCAAACGTAGCACGATGTTGGAGTGCACGACCTATTTGTTTGTTCACGATTTTCTCATATCTCGTTCTCGTTGCATCACATTTTCCGTTAATGAATCGCATTTATGGAAGTTTTCATTGTTGAATTCTCGCGATCGCTTTTTTAAACGAGGCGATTACGCTTGTAGTTAAAAATGTATTCAATAAATTGGATGAATATTTTAAACATCCTGTATTTAATTATGGTAATAAAATTCGAGTTAAAAGACTATTTTAAAATTTTAGTTAAAAAAACCATGTACCTCCGATAAAATTTTAATATTCAAACTATTATGAAGCTGGAATTATAATATTAATTAATTTAATGTGCATATTGTGTCTGCATGCTTACTAAGAATTAAAATTAATTATTTTAGTTACTGTGATAAAGTTACGTATTTTAATGTTGTATTTGTTGTATATGTGCTATATTTTTCAGTTATTTAACACAAGTTATATGTATCTGGTGACTGGTTATATGACTTTTGCACTGCACAGGTATCAAAGCCTATTTATAACTGGTAGAGTATGCCCTAAGTTTAATAAAAAGCAAGAGTTAAGTGACTACGAAATAATTAATGATTAACAGATAGCGTGGAAGAAACTTACTGTTTTATAAATAATTCCTACCTGGCCATCTGGCACGTGTAAGCACTTGAATTTCTAATATTTTAACCCGTTTACATTTTCGAGAAGCTTTTGGCAAATTTACAAAAATAACAACTAGTTTTTTTTTCTAAATAATTGATCTTAATGATCGCTTTAAAACAGATTTCAATCTAACCTTGATCATGGCTTTAAGCATAGCATAGCGCGTAAACACGTTCCTCTCAGCCTTGGAATCGTTGTACCTCGCCATGAGATTCACCAGAGCTTTCTTGGCCGTATCGTAGTTTTCATCGAGTCGCACACGAACCATTCGGAGTCGCTCATTTGTTTCGATCACCTCCTCTTTAGTTTGCCCGCCTGGTTAAATTTTATCAATATATTAATAAATAATTGGAAGAATGTATGTTTATGATTTTCAGATATAAATCATTGTTGAAATATCGCTAGGTTATATTTAAAAATATTTGTAAGAATTAAATATAAAAAAAATATATAAAACATTTCGTCCAACAGTTCGTGCGGCTAAATCTTGTTGAGTAAATTAATTGCGATTTTATTGTAAATTTCAGATATAATTTCTTACAATAAAAAAATTGTAAGTAACAAAAGTAGACTTACTAGAAGTGCCCTCGTCTTTCACATCTTGAACAATTCTTCGTACGCTTTGAGTAAATTTTCCGACTAGATTTGTGCTGGCTGTAAAAATAAAAATTGGTTGTTAATAAAAAATATAACTTTATTATTTTGTTTATTTATTACATTATTTATATCTCTTAGATAAAATTTATTGCAAATATAAACAAATTGAAGAGCCTTACACAGTTTAAGAAAAATGATTAAGAAGGGATTGAACGTATTTGTTTGGTTAAGGATGAAGCCAGTCGATCATGTTACATGTTAGTTACATGGATGTGCACTCAGACGCTTCACTAAGCTTGCCACCAAACGAACAACTGGACGATGAATAGATGCACATCTGTTACCATTATTTTATAAAATTTCTTAATGTTTTAATATGATACAAATAGGCGGAGAGGATTCAGCATGCGAATTGATACCTACTTATTTTAAGTATGCTTTTTCTTTGCTTTTTAGTTTGGAAACATTTCACTCCAATTGAAAATATTTTATTCAGCGTTAAATACATTATTACAATTTCTTATTCAACTTTATGAGTCTATCACCATTTCGGAAAGAAAATGGTTCAGATCTGAGAAGAACTGGCGAAAGAAATAAGAAACTGAGCGGGACTAGAATCATTTTTTTACCTTTTTTTTTTGTAAGAGAAAATATTAATTACAATGATTCTACAACATTGAAATAGCAGGCGATCTCATCATATCCAAACCGGCCTTCTTCTATAAATCGTTAATTCTATAATAACCATACAACCAAAATAGCATACAAAAGTTCTTTAACATTTTTTTATTTAGCAATAGACTTTGTATTCGTATCTGATCTGCAATAAATATACTGAGATTCTTCGCTAAAGTTTTAATAGCATAAGCTGGTGTAAGTTTTGCGGTAAATTAACTTTAAAACTGCAGCCTCAGATTGCCTTTAAAAAAGGTACAACATAAAACAAAATATTTTGCAATTATTCATTCTCCTGATATGTAAGTGGTCTAAAATAAATATAATTTAAAAGATAATTTAAACTACACCTAATATGAAATACAATCAAAATTTAATTATTATTCTCATAAAACATTATTATCACGTAATTTTATTTATATGCTCCTACTATTAAAACCTTAAAGTGCTAGCAAAACCCGAGGCTTCGTTCGCGCTAAGACAATACAAACTTTCATTCCCTATTTTACCCCCTTATGGGTTGAATTACGACAAATGCTAAAACTCGTATTTTTTGGGTTGTATTATAACGTGTTTTTCCGTGGGAAATGAGGTAATCACCCGCGGTAAAAACTATTATATGTCACTCTGCCAGCAACTCCAACTACATCCACAAATAAAATCACGCCAATCCATCACTCTGTTTTGACATGAAAGAAGGACAAACTATGAACTCTGAAACTACTTATCCGATCTTAACGTTTATTTTAAATATGCAATTTATTCCAACTTAAAGTATAAGGTAGTTTTTATTTCGATTATTTCCTTTTTTATTGTAAAATTAACAATTTTCATATGTGTGCCATAGCAAACACATAGCTGGGTCTAATAGTATAATCTCTGAATTTTAATTTTAAGTTTAAATGCAAAAAAAAAATTTGAAAAAAAAAATTTGTTTTTAATATTTTACTGCGTAAGCAGTTTTTTGCTTCGTTCGGTGTTTCTGTGTGTATCTATGTCTGCTGTGATTCGCTAATCCGTTGCTATGTCAATGAATTTCGAACTAATAAATCTATATGCACCTTTTTGCCTTTGCATTTATAATATTAAGTATAGGTTAAAATTTTAAGAAGAATTGAAATATGCTAAAACAATCTAGAAGTAACCAGCTGTAAAATTACACGCTCTGTGACGGACCTATTCGAACGCTTGAACGATAAAGTCTGTAATATTTTACCGTCCAAAATGTAATGCTTTTATGGTGAGTTATTTACGCTTCAAATAATGTCGTCGGGCTTGAGAGTGACGTTATAGGTTTATTGTTTTCTCGAGGACGAAATAAACAATAATACACAGGGCTCTTAATCTCGTTTTAACAGATGGTGTTAAAGATTATACTCGTAGATAGAATATAACTTTGTTGTAACAGTGATATAAAGTAGTACTGAAGACTATTTATAAAAAAATCTTGATATGGTTTTTCGTGATAGACTATCCCATTATTTTTTCAGAATTCAGGAAATTCATGATTTAAAAAGAAAAGGAAATTGCTTTGTTTTATCACTCGTTCCGTTAAATTGAAAAAAGCATAATTGAAAGTGGAGGAAAATTCTTTATACAATTTTAAGGAAAAAGCGCATAAATTTATACACTACTACATAAATACTCTAACCCCATTTGCATTTTACGGCTTCTTCAGATTTTTTTTACATATAAACAATAATAAACCAAGTAAGAATAAACCTCGTCTTATCGCCTCTACTGGTGACAGGAGGGCGGGCGCATTTTTCGCCCAAAGAATCGGCATTGCCATTCAACGGGAGAATGCGGCTAGCATTCTTGTCACTATTCCACGCGGACATGACTTGTACAGTAATAACTAAGTGTACATTTGTTTTGTATATATAATTAAGTATATTTATAATTTTCCTTTATTTCAAATAAATTATACTTTCCTCCATAAAAAAATAAGAAGATAATTTAACTACCAATAAACATTATACGACACCCTGCCTCTAAGTCATACTCATTAGTGACTAGTATGATGTAGTTTTTTTCACCTTCTAAAGATGTCCTTATCACTCATTTCTTATGCTACAAAAATATCTACTTTGATAACTATATCCGTTAAGAATTATATGAATGTCGGTTTGTTAATTACTTGCCCCTAAACACTTATTTATGTTACCTTAAAATCCATTAAGTTTTAATTATTTTCACCGTAGGAATTAATATATTCTTTATATGATATGAAAACGACATTTTTCAAGCACTGGGGATATCGAGGAATCAAAATTCTCACTTTAAACTAAATAAATACATTTTATTCTGCATTTATGTATTTATAAAAGCCAAGAAAAAAATATTTGCATTTATTTGTACAGTTTAGATCTTAAGATAAAATTATGATGACGATGAAATATACAAAGTTCATTTTAATTTCAAATTCTTAGAAAGCTCGTATATTTTATGATAGAATTTATTATCTGACGTTTAGGAGAAATTTATAAGCGACTCTAATGAGGTGCTTTGCCTCTATATAATTTTAATTGCGCTATTACTTCATTAGCTTTTCTTTAGAAGTGATATTTCTGTAATATTTTTTATATTCACATATTAGTTATTTTATTTTTGATTTTATTAATTATAATAAATGCTCCATTGTTGTAATGTGGATTTGATACTGGAGAGAATATGGAACGAAATTTTATTTTAGAGATAAATGAAAAACCGCTAAGAGTGATTGTGATGTTCTCCTGACCGATTCCGGCCACCGCGGCCAATCTCATTGAGACTAGCCAACTGTGCAGGAAATATTATAGTGCACAAGTGTACGTGCAGACACAAGGTGCACTCTCTATTCCTGACACTCTCATTTAATACATAAAAGTTAATTTTAACCGGTATAATTAACTACTTAAGGACAAAGCTTTTAAAAGAAGTTGTACTGCCGTGACCTTAAAAGTTATACATATGCACATTACGTATGTGTCGAAGAGAGACCAAAATACGAGAATGTGTTAAAACACTTGCGGTATTAATAGGATTATAATTTAAAAACTATCAAATAATATCTACCTTCGAATGTAAAACAAGTTGAAATGTTAATATAATACAAATAAAAGTGTACCACTATACCTACATATTGTTTCATTTTCCTGTGATGTGTGAGAGACAACAACTCCATGTACTGATACCAAGTGATGTTTGGTGCTATTAATGTTAAATAACAATCACAGTAATACCGACAGTCACTCTCAACTAATATTTATTTATCTAATAGAAAAAGATGAAATTTTTAAATTTTCAGTTGATCTGTCCTGCATTTCGAGTGGTGATGTGCCCAAATAAGGCCGTATTATTTTTGATTTTGAATTTAATTAATTGATAAGCGATCGCTATTGACAGCAATATTTTTTGAATTTATAATTATAAAAAAATATTGTAATATTTACAATGCTTGTTCTATATGCATGACAATGTTCCATGCATACTTAATTTTCGATTGAAACTGTTGCAATATAGATACGTATACCGTATGCGTTAATGTCTTTCTTATCTTATTCTGAGGACACGCTTAATGGTTCCTATCAATCACATAATGTATCTATAATGTAAAATATCTTGGTATAATATATAGTATTTATCACGAGAAATTAAAGACTTTGGCGAAGGTTTTGTGACGTGAAGTGACGAGTTGGCAATACATGCTTACCTATTCTAATGCAGAATCCTTTAACTTGAGCCTTTAATCAAAAATGGGAACTTAAGCCAGATTGGAAATATCGTTAGATAAACGAAGTTTAATTTAATGTCGTAATGGTCTCCATTTTGTATATTTGATTAACTGCCTCAGTGGTCTAGTGGCTAGCGTGTATAGTTACAGATCCAGAGGCTCTACGTGTGTTGTTGAGTTTAGTTATTGAGTATTTCTGTTCAGAAATTGTCAGTACCAGCATGGAGATTGGATGTTGGCGGTGTTTACAACCCTATGCCGCTGAAAGCACGTAAAGGTCCTTCCTCTGATCTCTATCTCTCACCTTCATAGCGAATCGTGGCCCCATCGGAATTTAAGAGTGAAATGAAAAAAAGTTCACTTGTGCACTATAATATCCCATGCACAGATGGCTAGACTCAGTATGATTAACTGCCGTTGAAAAAATCGGTTAGAAGACATTATATTATTAATTATTATTCAATGAGGATACAGAAACGCGATGCAGGCACGCACATAATATGGCACAGGGACAGATATAGAACTTTTAACAAATTTTAGATTCAATTTCGGTTTTGTCGATTCCGTGAGATTTATTGTATATGAGTGCAATTAGCAATAATCAATGGCATGAATACATTATAAGATTAGATATAGTTAGTTCGTATCATTGAAAGTGTTAAGAAAAATATAAAAGAATGTGCAGGAAGGAGGCAGTTGTGGTTTGAGCGAAGCAATGGCGGCTCGTTAGTAATAAATATTAATACATAGATAGGTAATAAATTTTATATAGACATCTAAACACTTAAGGTAGACCTTGTAATTTATACAGATTGTATCTAAAGTTCAATCGTTACGTCTACATATAAATTTGTAGTATTTACTGTGGTCTAAGAGTAAATGGAATTTCATAAGTTTGTGATGGTAAATATAATATTTAATTATTAAGATTTTTTTCTTAGTTTGCTACCAAAAAGCAACAAGGAAGAATAAATTTAAAATTTACATCTACTAGAAAATATATTTAAGTATCAAACTTAAGTATTATGCCGATGGCTTCAAATTACTTATTTTGCGCACATTATAGAAAGTTTAGTGAGCCGATGGCTTGACAAGAAACAAGTTCAATGTACAGTCTGTTACAGTAACTGTAGTCAGTAAACCGGTTTTGTAATGTTGAAAACAGATTAAATTCTTTAACAAAGCATTGTGTAGAGTCTATTTAAAAAAATTAACTTTTGTGAGTCACTACGGCCTATTCAATTTCTGCATTTCCCATTTCTTCCTACAAAAATAAAATATAATTAACTCGATATCTTAAATGACAAAGCCAATTTAGGTTTATTATTATTTATCTAACGTTGGATGCATTGCATTATTCCGCCCGGCTCATTTATTTATTTATTTATTGTCATTAGTGTTGTGTTATTTGTTGTGATTAAAACTGCTTTACAATTCTCATTGACATAATGCTAACGTCGGTAGCCACTAATGTCCCCCCCAACGTGAGTTCACCTTGTCGTGGTGGGGGGGCTCAGTAGTGCCCGGCAACCCAACCGGACGCGAAGCCAAGAAACGCACAGGGAGGTAGCCCACTTCGGTGGGCGGTGTACCATGTGGGTTGCTCCTGGTACTTCTCTGATAGCAGAGTGGACCTTGGAGCAACCCCATGGTTGTGGTGGTCTGCTTCGGCAGACCTGCCATCGGGGCGTCGTAGTTGAATGCTTAAGCGATCCTGCGACGCCCCATTAAGACAGGGGAAGGTTTTGTTGGGTTTTAGTGGGTAGTACTGGCTTTATTACGCCGGTGAGTCCCACACCTCGTGCGTAAATGCATTTCCCAACGTTAAAAAAAAAGCCACTAATGTAAGTCTGCTCTAAAAGTATTTTTAAAAGGTTTATGCTAGGAGTAAAAGGAATGAAATAAATTAAGTAGTTAAATTGAATGTTTATTCGACCATCAGAAATTGTAGAGGGCTTATAGGTGTACATTGTACAACCCACTCTTGCATTGTGCCTCACTATTGTCGTGACTAAAAATAGATACGGATCTCAAACCATTATATGTTTACAATAAGTCTGGTATAAAAAATATTCAAGGATATTTTATTTCATACGGTCATACCATTATTTTTTAAATTCCGTATTACGTCGGTTCAATTTAAGAATTTTAATTCAAAATTTTCAATTTCTTCAAGTTGACTGAAGAGAACTGACTTTTCCTATCGACGACACGTTTGGCTTAGTTTGTAGCTACCCTACTTGCTGTGCCGGTTCGAGTCCGCTGGGGGCATTCATTTGTGTGATGAGCACGAATGTTTGTACTCTAGTCATGAGTGTTTATATTTATAACATGTATGTATTTAAAGTTATATATGTATAGTGTATCAACTATTTGGTATCCATAACACAGGCCTCGTAGCTTACCATGGAACTAGATGGTGTTGTGTGTTAATGTCCCAACATATTATTATTACATATATTATTTCTTAGTTTTCATGTAAGAAAGTAAACCGGTGAGACCACATGTATGGATATACATATGTTGACGTAGACTTAGTTTTTTATTTCCATAGTAAGCTTAGATAAGGAAATCGATACCCCAACTTAGAGTGGGAGCGAATTTACACAAGTTGAACCAGGAAATGGAATCTCTTGGTAATACTTGAATGTTTTTAGATTTTTATTCATTACTTTTGCAGATTTAATTTCAAATTCATTTGTAATGTTTAACTTATCTGGGTGTTTATTTTATGTTTGCTAGTTTATTTTATTCCATTCTTAAAATTATAAAACTTATACAAAATTACCACTGTACTTAAGCTATGAAAACGTAAGCTTATGATCTAATACGAATTTCTTTTTATAGCTTTTTTGTGCTAATATAGTTTTTAAAAGAAGCTTTTGAAACCGGCTTTCTTTTGTACGATTTATTTAATTTATATTTAAAGATAAAGTACAACGTATAGGAAAATAAGGTATAGGAACAATAAATACATAGTTGAGAAGTGTGCCTTTGTCAATAGAATATTGATACTGACACTTATAAAGATGGATCACTGAAAAAAGAAATTTTGTGCAAATAGTGGTTTGATTCTGGTGTAATAAAATTAATTTATCTTCCCGGAATATTTTTTTTTATTTTATATATAGACACATTTTATATACAGACATAATAAATAATGTTTCAAATACCTATTGCGAAATCGTGTTAGCCAAAACGAGGTAACGCGAAAATCATTCGTTACTAATTACCTCGTAAACTACTGTTTTTTTTTTTAAATTTGTTATTAAGCTATTACCTAAATAGCATATGCTACAAAAAAACCCTGACCCGAGATAGTGTAGGAAATATAAATGAAATAATGTTTT